CTCCAACTTCAACATCTCATTCTTACTTTGTTCAAGCACGGTTACTCTGTCATCAATATTTTCAATTTTCTCATCTCTTTGGTTGTCTTTCTCTTCCATTTTTTGCAATTTCTCATCTCTTTGGTTATCCTTCTCTTCCATTCTTTGTAGTCTCTCATCATATTTCACCATCATTTGTTGGATGCTCTCAATTTTTTGTTCAATGCTCCCTGTACTCATTTTGAGTTCTTGAATTCCTTGTATAACCGTCGTTAAGTCTGTTTGTGCTTTATCTTGCTTCGCCATTATTGAAAGTCGTCCTCCAATTGATGGTGAGGCAGGAGCAGAAGTTGAGGTGCCAGAAGGTAGAATTTTCTTACTCATTTGAATAATTCAGAATCTTCCCACTCTTTAATCCAGTTAGCAGAGTGGTAATTGTAATCCAATTAGGGAAAGGAAAAACGTAAAAAAAAGAAAAAAGAATAACCAGTAAAAAATAAAAAGCCCAAAATTCAAAAAGAAAAAGGTTTCAAAAAGAAAAAAGAGATTTCTTCAGGTTCTTCTAAACCTTAATCCTCAGTTACGATAGTCAAACAAGAGGAAAAAAAAAAAGAGTAAAACCCAGTAATATTAAAATAATAATAATAATAATAATAAAGGAAAAAGAGAAAAATTCTTCAGGTTCTTCACACCCTAATCCAATTGCGAGGTCTCCAAACAATAAAACATAGCCATAAAAGGGAAATATATATATAAGTGGAAAAAACAAGAATCCCCCCCCCCAAGGAAAAAAAAGGAGAAAGGAAAAAAATATTTTGAGGCTTTCCCTTTAGAAAAGAAATAAATAAAAAATAGTAATAATGATGAGCGAATATGTAAGATTATTACAAAATGCTATGGGGTTGAGGAGGAGGGGTAAAAGCTAGCAACCAATAAAACAAAAAGCACACTGCCTTTTATTTAAACGTCCAAGGCTCTTATTATGGCAAGCTTCGAAGCCAGACTTCACATATTCAGTTGATTGTAGAAACCCCAAGGGACACCTGTGGAAATGTTTTTCAGATTTCTTCCCTCTATCTTATCAACTCCGTGTCCTTGGGAAAAAGTTTCTCACAGTTCTCACAGCTTCAAATAAAATTTCTTCAAGCCTCTAGTTGGCAGTGTTACAAAGTTACAAAGTTTCTCTGCTCCACTCCCCCTTCTTCCCCTCCAAAAAAAAGAAAAGAAAAGCCCAATAAAAATAATAATAATTATACAAAAAGAAAAAAAAGATTACTAAAGGGAGCCTCTATTAAAAATATAAACAGTCAGACCAAAGAAAATGGATAAATATAAAAGGGAAAACCAGTCTGGTTACCATTACTGATCACAATAAAAGTTCATTGGAAAGAAAAAAAAAAAGGTAAAAAGCCAAGCCTCATTTTGACAGCTCTAAAAAAAAATCGCCACTAAATCTACCTTATCGAGTTCTGTCAAAAATCTTACAGATTTCTTCTTCTTCTAGAGTGAGCTTAAGTTCCAAATAATTAAAATAAAATCTCACCAGCCGATGCACTTTCTCTTTCTGTCTTCTCTTCCTTCCGGAGCTGTCCCTGCTTCAGCAGCTTAATGGCTGCCTCTCCGCCGCTGGTAAAGGGGCTTCTTCTGGATCTTCCAGGGACTTGCGGTGTCCCTGTGATCAACAGAACGCGCCCCTTACTATCACCGTCCCTACGGGACGGTTTAGGTCCGTTGGGACCGACCAGGGGCGAAGATCTCAGCTGTAATTTCAGAGCCCCGAAATTACAGCTGTAGCGCGGCAACGTGGCTCCGCCTTCTTCACGCTGCCGTCTTTCTTAAGTGGGGTGACTATGGGGGTTTCCCATTTCGCAAAATCTACTGGCTCTAATACCCCTTGCTTTAGTAATTTATCTAGCTCCATATCCAATTTGGGGCGGATAGCAAAGGGTACCCTACGAGGTTTCAGACGGATGGGAGTTGCCTGTGGGTCTACATTGAATGAAATAGGGGTACCAGAGTAACACCCCAAACCTTCGCTGAATACATCAGAATAGTCTCTGAATAGGGTATCTACTTCAGAGGTTGAAACAGTGTGGATACCAGTTATGCTGAGACCAAGAGCAGGGAACCAGTCTAATCCTAGCAAACTAGGGAGGGCACCATCTACCACTACTTAAGGCAAGTGGCCTTTAAAGTTTTTGAATTGGATTAAAAACTTGCCTTTCCCGAGGACTGGGATGGTCCTGCCTTGGTAATCACACAGAGTCAGGTGGCAGTTCAGGAGCTTCTTCTTAGACATCCTTGGAAGCATCTTCTTTAGAGTTTCCCAGGAGATGATGGAAAGTGCAGAGCCTGTGTCAACTTCCATCTTGCAGGGCTTACCTTCTAAAGAGACAAAAATACTTATTTTGTTAGAGCCTGTGGTAGTATGATCTGAGTGGTAACAGGTATAGCAGTCCTCAACTTGCCTTTGGAAAATAGGAGTAGGCTGAGGTCTTTGTGGAAAAGTTTTCCCAGCTTGGCAGACCCTAACTAGGTGGCCCTTTTTCTGACAGTTCAGGCAAATGGCATTCCTGAATCTGCAGGATGCCCTGAGATGGGTTCCCCCACAGCTTAGGCAAATGGGTTGCTGCCTGGAGGTAAAGTTGGTTTTTTGTCTTGGTTCTTCTGGAGGGGGCTTCTGTTGTCTGAGGCGGTTTACCTCGATTGGGTCCTCAGAACTCTCATCTAGGGAGACTTCATCAAAATGAATAGTTGAGCTGCCTTGTCTAATGGGGTTCCCCTGTATTTCTGCTGCTGACAGAGCAGATAGCTCAGCAGCTTGTGATTCCTCGATGGCTACAGCTAGGGTTAAGTCCTTTTTGGCTAGCAATCGTCTTTGAAGTCTCAGGTCCTTGACCCCACAGACAATTTGATCTAGGAGCATATCCTCTAGGTAATCCCTGAAGCCACATTGTAGGGCAGCTGACCGTAAGGCTGCCACATACTCACTAACTGACTCCCCCTCAGACTTCATTCTCCTCCTGAAAGCGTGTCTCCTAGCAATTTGGGATGGCTTAGGGGAGTAGTGACTGGAGAGGATCTCCTGTAACTCCTCCCAGGGGACAGCCCTAACAGAATGCGGAGCGACCAGCGCCGTGGCAGTGTCAAAAACCGTGGCTCCACAGAAGCTTAGGAAATAGGATTTCTTCCTATGATCTGTGGCGTCCGTGAGGTCTATCGCGTCCAGGAAGCAGATGAAGCAATTTCTATAAGATTCCCACGTCTCGACTGTCGGCTTGAAGGGTGGGAACACAGGATTCGAAGTCATCGTGTAGCGGCAGCGTCTATCTCCTCAGCTGGGGAGGTTTAAACTTCGCGCTCTCGAAGAGTGCCAGCGGCTGCGCCTGTCAGGCGGTGTCTGTCTCCTCAGCTGGGGAGGGTTTGAACTTTGCGCTCGCAGAGAGCGTCTGCAGCTGGGACAATCAGCTCGCGGTGGCTTTGGCTCTTTTTGTAGTGACTGAGCTCAGCTGTTTTTTGTCCGGTCACCTCTTATTTATATCCCACCCTCGTCGCCAGTGTTGCGGAGCGGCGGTAGATACGAGGCAGACACAGAGCTAACAGCGAAAAGGCTTTATTCATAACTCCTTTTCTTGCTTTCCTGAATTAAAGGATCCTTTTTCTGGCAGCTGGCTTATTTCTTCTGAGCATTGGAGACTGCTTCCCAGCTGGGAAACGAACTCAAGAAATTTATTCCAACACCTTTTAAAATTATAGTTCAACTCAGTTTGCATATAGACTGTCTCCCTCAGGTCAAAAGGAACCCTGCTGCAATCATCCTGCAAAAGGTTTCCAGTGTATTGTCCACTTCCTTGCATTGAATGGCTATTCTCCTTTGGTCACTGTACAGACAAGGCTGCTGCTTACACAACTGGACCCTGGATCCCAATTGCCTTCCTGGGATAAACTCATCCCCAGCACCTTTTCCTTAGCCTGTGTTCTCTCCCAAGGGATTATCAGTTTACCCTCTCCTGGCTCCTCAGTTTGTTTGCATCCTCTGAAGATGCATGGGTGAATTCACCCTGTGCTGTCAAGCGTGTTCTGTGGCTGAGTAGGATCAATCCAAGCCCTGGGGGTGGAGTGGGGGGTGGGGCGGATGCCATACTGCCATCTTGTCAAGCCCTTAAATCTGTTGCCTCCAAAGTCAGGCTTCCTGGGAAAAACTGAGTTTGCATGTTGCTGATAAGAATTTGAGAGATAATTTATGAGAGACATTTTGACCTTTGCAAAAGGACTTCTTTGCATCTCCCCCCAAAATACTAATCACCAAATAATTTGATCAAAGTAAAAAAAAAAACATTCATTAAAGGGGGGTGTTAAGTCTTTTTGTAGGTTACAGAAGCAAATGATACATTTAGTATATGTAATATGTCAGGAAGCAAGTCATACAATAAAATATATTAATTGCATGTCACACTTGAACAAGAGGAAACATTGATTCTGGATGAAGTTTCAACGGTGGTAAATTTGTGGATTACATTCTTTCCCAAATGGGTTGTTGTGTCTTTCTTAAAATTTGCAAGTATATTCAAGGACTTTCAGAATGCGATCTTTATTGTTTGGTGCTGAAATGACAAATTCTTGCGTATCAAAGGAAAGGTCCACGGAGAAAAGAACATGTTTTTCTGAAATTAATCTCCAATAGTTAGACTTTGGATAGTTTCCTCCAAAAATTCCTTCCCGGTTGAAGATTAGTTGCGTTTTTGTACACATGCATGTTGTGCAGTATGGTAGTTCGGTCTTCCGTGCAGCTGTCGAATTTTTTGGCACTACATCGCTAGGTGGCGATGTCTGGCCACCGGCCTGTAGTGTCAGTACGGTTACGGCTCCGACGTCACTCGCAGCACGTCCCGCCCTCCTTTTTCTTCCCTGCAGGTAAGGCGTTTGGGCGGTGTCAGTTGTAGCAAGGAGAGGAGGAGTCCGCGGGAGGGCGTGGCAATTGTTCGCGGTTCTCTGCTGTTGCTGTTGCTGTTGCTCTTCCCAGAGCTACTGTCACCTGCTCATCGCTGCTACTTCGAAAGTGAAACGCGAAGCGAGGCGGGTGCTTTGGCTTGGCAGCGAAAGGGAGGTAAAAGAAAAAGAGAAGCCGCGGGAGCTGCTCTCCTCGCCGCCTTCTCGGACTTTAACTAGCCATGAGTCCGGACCAAAAGCCGCCGCCGCCGCCGCCGCGGTCTTCCCGCAATAGCCAAGTGCCTTGTCCACAGCAGCGCAGCGGACTCCTGACTGAGATTCAGATGCCCCTTCTCACCGAGCCCTTCGAGGCCCGCTATACCCTCAGCCTCGGCCGCGAACTCGGCAGGTAAGTCGGGCAGGGGAGAGACGCGGACGATACGGAGGGCGCCCTTTTGCCTCCGCATTCTTTTTTTTTTTTTTCCGGAGATGTGCTGGGTTTGAGTCCAAATGACCATATGGCATTGGAGTCTTCTCGAGACGTAGCAAAAGCGGGGAGACCTCGAGAGAGGAATGAGAAAAAACGATGAGGGACGGGCAGTGGAAAAAGCGAGAAAAACCTTACAAAAAACCTACAAAAGTATTCGGGGAGACCAAAATTGTGCCTGGACCCAATCCCCTTTGGACACTAAGTGTGCTTTTCTTCAAACCACTAGCAACCCACATCTAATTTTTACACAACTTTTCCTCGGCTTTTCCTTACTGTCCCTAATTCAGCCTTGTGTCCAGGGCTGGAACACCCAAACTTAGGTGTTCTTTATCTTGAGAAGTCCGTAAAGGTGAACAAGGCATATACAAGGCTGTATATGCAGACAAGTATGTACTATAAATAGTTGCTGTGGTTTCCGGTGATAATATTTGCTAGTAAGTAAAGAAAATCTCACCAGTATTATGATCCCCGCTTAGCCTGGTTGATGCTCACTGGGGCTATGAGGATTATAGTCCAAATTAATCATTATCTAATTTATGCTCACTTTGCTACTCAAGCAAATAATCAGATTGCAAAGGAAATACATTCCAAATTGTTACAGAAATGTGGAATTGTCGTTTATGAGTGAGCCAAACAAATCAAACCTTTCCTTTTTAACTATTCTGGGTCATAATTTTGATGGAGCTGTGGGGAAATAAACAAGAGAGGATGGGAAACCCTTTCAGCATGTTTGTTTTCAATCTTTCATAAACCTAAATAGCTGAGAGTTGTTACTGTTTACATTGGCAATTTTATCTCTCCAACCCATATGAACAGTGTGAAATATAGAATAGGGTAAACTTGAGACTGGCCTATAAAAGTATCATAGATTCCATTCCTGAAAAAATCATCTTAAAGGAAATTCAGGTAATGAATTCTCTATGATACAATATGGATGCTTTTTTGTCAAAGTAACCATTTCATTTGTTTATCTGAAGTAAAATGCAGTGGGGCTCTCACAAACTTTTATATTTCTGTGATTGAGTGTAAAATATTAAGCATTTTTCAAGTAGAAAAATAAACTGTTATCTTTAGTCTTAAATGGAGATGATTTAAGTTTTATGTATAGAAAAAGGCATCATTCATATGTGATCTAATATAAAAAGATTGCTGTATATGGTATATTTTTCTGTCTTAACTGGATATTTCTGTCAGAGGCATCTCTAAAACTGTGATGTCAGAAACTATATCAGGATGATCAGGAACTTTTCTCTCATTTGCTTTAAATAATCAAGTCTAAGGTTATTTAGTGATTCAGACTTTGTTCAGGCCTTCAGCAGTTGTCTCGTCATTAATGCCTATGGACCCAAGACTCTTGTAAATTAAAGGGCTAAAGGTAAGAGACAAGCTTGAGAGGGTTTAATCTGAGTCAGAAGAAATAAATACAACCAGCATGGCATTTTAAAAATTTATTTGTTGGATCAAACTCTGGCTTTGGTTTGTTTAAATGTTATGTTTAATATAGCAACATTCTTTTTTTAAATTTATGAAGCTACTCATAGACAATATTTCTATGCATGGTTTTTTGTGTACAGAGGTTATTTAATTATATATGTATGTTCTAATAAAATACTTCATTTTATCTGATTTGCTAACTAATATGCTATTTTTGGATGTATTAAACGAACTTAAACTACTACTTAACAGAAAATGGCATAAATAAAAGCATAAATAAAGGTAAAATGATCTTTGATACTGGAAATGGCATACATAATGTAGCAAATTACAGTGATCATATATTTGAACTTCAAATGAATCTACAGTCAGTTTCATGGAACAACTTAAATTTTACAGAGCATACTTATTAAATTGCTGTACAATATTTAATATTCTTGTGGAAATTTAAGTGACAGTTCACAATTATATATACAATTGGAAAAATGATTTTTCTATACTCACAAAACTAGTCAGAGATTAGTGCAGATACAGCTTTCTTAGTCCTAGGGCACATGTGAAATTTTGAAAGCATATGGTAGACTTATTAAAACAACTGCCGAAATAGCCATTCAATATTTCATCATAGTACAATATCTAGGAAACCAGGATCTGTAAGAATATATCAGAATTAAATGGCTGGCTGACCTTCAGCTTCACATAAAGCTTGAGAACAGATTGACTTTATTTATTGGCCATGAAATGATCCTATTTTGCTATTAGAATTTTAACTTAATCTATACATTCATACATTATTTGTATGAGATAGATTTTAACATTATAGCAAGTAGGCATTCATGTTACAGTTATAGAAAAGTTAAAATTATATATAGAAAGATGACAATAAGTTGTTTTATTATACTGTAGTATAAGTAATTTTTACTATATTATAGTATATCTAAGTAATTGCCATTAGTATTGGTGAATAGGCTGAGTTCATATTGCACAAAATTGTAATGTATGTTTTCTTTCTTTTTTTATAATATTTTTTTTATTGTTTACAACTGTAAATATACAATGGGGCTGCTGTTTTGGCATTACATATACCATACACACAAAGATATTACTAAACCATTAACTTTCACATTATTGATACAGTATTTGCTTTTTGGTTCTATTCATTCTGTCTGTTTTTCCCCCAACCTTCCCTTTTTTTGTAGCCACTGATAAAACTTATACCATGTTTCATAGTAAGCTGATTCTTGAATTCTTTATTCTTCAATTTTAAGATTAACCTATCTGATTCTGCACAAGCCATTATTTTCTTTATTTGTCTTTGTGGTAATATGGTTTCATTTTTACAATACTGCACATATATCATTGCCACTGTCAAAACATGTATGATTAAATATGCTGTATCTTTCCTATACTCTTCTATCATTAGTCCCAGGAGAAATAATTCTGGTTTAAACAGGATATATTCTCCCACCATTTGTTCTACCCAAGTTTGTATCAATCTCCAGGATTTTTTTTTAAAATTTACATGTCCATCACATGTGGTAGAATGTACTTGACAGTTCCTTACATTTCCAGCATTCTGGGGATAAGTTTTTATACATTTTGGCAAGCCTTGCTGTATGGAGGTGCCATCTATAAAACATCTTGTAAAGGTTTTTCTTATAGGCTGTGGCCATTGTTAATTTCCTATTATTTGTCCAGAGATTCTCCCATTTAACCAGTTCAATATTGTGTCTAAATTTTTTTGCCCATGCCACCATTGTTTATTTGACATGTTCTTCTTCTAATTTGTATTCTAATAGATATTTATATAGCATTTTAATTCACTTGTCATCAGTCCCAATCAGCAGTTTATTCGATTTTGTTAAATCTTTGTTTAATGCCCCATGTTTTCTTATCCTGTGTATATCTCGTCTGTAAATAGGACCACCATTCCAAATTTACCCCTTGTGTTTTCAGTTCTAATCTAGTTCTCAGTTCTCCTTGTTCATTTAGTATGTCTCTTATTGGTGACAATTTTCTCCAAATTTATCAAATTTAGGTGTACTAGTGCTTCTAATGTGGAGATCCAAATAGGGGGTTTCCATATAACATTGACGAGAGTACTGAGCGTCTGTGAGCAAAGGTTTACTTCGAGCCCTGCAGCCATTGAGCCCTCTGGCAAGCAGTCTGTGACGACTGTGCTTGTGCACATTTTTACATCATATGTTTCACCCCAAATTCTTGTAATCTGAGGTGAGGTGAGCTTCCTGTCAGCCATTGAAATGCGTTGCAGAGCCCAATCTTGCCGTTTTGTTGACTTTCTTGGTCTTCCAGAGCGGAGCCTGTCATCAACTGAATCAGTTATTTGGTATTTTTCAACCACTCTGCTCACTGTGGTGCGATAGCATTTCACTCTCTTGGCTATTTCTGTACAGGAGTAATTCTCTTCGTGAAGCACAATGATGCAATGCCATTGTTCAGTACTGGTGAAAGCAAAGGCCTTCATCCTTGCCCGCAGCCAGAGCTAAATTAAATTTCTCGATGCTTTTCATGCCTATTTATAGTCAGAGAGTATGACAACGTTGATTGGCTCATAGATTTAGCCTCTGTGCATTTTGATTGGTCAGCCAAAGCTTGCTGCTGATTGGCTACTTTTGATCCTAACATTCTCAAAAATGCAAGCTGTGTTTGTTTTAACACATAAACTCACTCAAAAACTTTAAAAGACTTTGATTATGTTAATAAAAATTATGCACCTCAATCCGACTACAGAAATTTTTATCAAAGTACTAATTTTGTGTCTATGAGTGAAAAGTTGATTAAACATGTAAATACAGCTTAACACTGAAAGTGTGCAGGACTTTTTACACAGCTGTACATATTTCTACTTACTTTGAGGTCTTGTGCTTCTTGTTATTCTTGTCTCTCTCACTTCTTTGGGTTCTTCTTCTTTACTCTCTGGTTCAACTTCTTTTTCTTTTCCTCTCTCCTTTAGTTGGGGTTCCTTTTCTGCCCTTATCCTTGTTTCTTGGACCCTTGCCTCTAATACCTCTCTCTCTTCTTTTTCTTCCTCTTTGCCAAAAAGCTGGTTGTATAATTCTTCCACTTGTTCAACTGTATCTATTCTGAATCTCTTGCCTCTCCAAGTCACCAGAATGCTCTCTGGCATCAGCCACCTGAAGTTGATGTCATGTTTATTTAGCAATGATGTCAGAAATTGATATGATCATCCTAGTTCTATAATTCTTCTAGGTACCTGCTTTAAAACTGTCAGTTGCTTTCCTTTATATATTATCGGCTCGTCTCTTGTTCTGTTTAATATTTCATCCCTGATCGATTTTTTGACAAGCCTCACATGCAGTTCCTTTGGGAGGTTATTCCTTCTTGCGTAGTTCATTTGGATTCTGTATGTTTCATCTATCTCATTGGACATCTCATCTTTTTCTATACCTGATGCCTTTGCCATCAGATCTGCCATCAGATCTGGTAGGTCCTTTCCCTTTTCT